AATTACAATCATAATAATAATAGCAATGGTAATAACAATACCAACAACAAAAATAACAATGACAAAATGTTATAATAACAATATAAATGGAAACCGTTATGATAATGACAACACATTCATTACGGTCAGTTGTTACAATGCCGGTAATATCCATTTAAAAAATAACGGCATCCCTCCAACCGCTCTTTATTGGTAACCGAAATGGATCTTTTAAATTGAAACATGTTCAGAACACATCACTATTCGGACCGGAAAATATTTTGGATTTGACTTCTGTCTCGCTAAAGCAATTAACTTCTGAATTTTATGTTCGAATTTAACGAACCCTTTAATGGAATTTGATAATGAAGCTGAAGTTGGTGTTCGTGATTAGCATGTATATCAGTTGCTGGCTCGGTAATTTTTCTTTCTTTTTAGATTATGAAGTTATATTTAAGAGAGAACTGTATAAAGCTGCTTCATTACTGTGCACACACACACACACACACACACACACACACACACACACACACACACACACACACACACACACACACACACACACACACACAGCACACATATATATATATATATATATATATATATATATATATATATATATATATATATATATATTATATATATATATAATTATATATATATATATATATAATATATTATATATATATATGTATATATATATATATATTATATATATATATATTATATATATATTATAATATATACATATATATATTATATATATATATATATATATATATAAATTATTATAATATATATATATATATATGGTATATGGGTTTTGAAGCAGTCGTGTGACGGGCCAATAAGTATCGAACTGTGGGATCACTACGAAAGATGTAGGTATGAGCACGCATATAAATATATATAGACCATGGTTATTGCTAGTATCTCAGGGACGGCGGCATGTCTTAAGACTTCAATATTCTTATGATGTATGCGGCACGATATGATTATGGGAGTAGTAAGACTTTGCGGCATTATCAACTTTGTGTAGAGTCTGAGGTCACCGCGTGTTCGTGGAGCTATCCGGTATCGCGAATTGGTTGATGAGCTATGTATACGCCGCTGAAAGTGACCCCGACGCCTCTCATGGCTGCAGGATCACTGTTAATAAATTATATTTGTTGTGTATTGACTGGAGCGGTCAGACGTGACGAGATGTCTCACGGTGCGACCGAGCTCGGGAAGACTTAGTTATTATATTAATAATACTATATATATTATATATATATTTGGTCTGTATGTATTGTATATAATTTTCTCATCAATTTTTTATTTTGGTGGCTAAAATCCAATCCATTATTCCCTTATCAATCTATCCAATGGGATAATGATTAGGTATCACCATTCAAATATTTTCAAATTTATATTATTATGATAGGATGATGATGATGATGGATAATACCATCATGCATCATCCACCACCACCATCATAATTATTATCATTATCTTTTTTATATCATTATCATCATGATTATAATCCACGCATTTATAATTTTATTAATCTATCATCATCAGCATCATTATCATTATTTTAATTATATTATTATCGCATTATCACTTCATTATCATATGACATCATCGGTATCACAATCATCATAATCATAATCACCATCATCTATAATAACAACAACAACAATAAATATTGATGATGATAACACAACTCTTCTTCTCCCAAGGACGGGGTTAAGCTTGCAAGAATCCAGCTTTTTGCGCTTTCGGAATTATCCCGATGACGTCACCACAAGCATCCTGGACGCGGCGTGCGGGATCACAGGGGGAGGCGGAAGGAGGAAGAGAGAAAGAAGAGGAAAAGAGACAGAGAAAGAGAGGAGAGGAAGCGAGGAGAGAGATAGAGTTGCATGGTGGTGAAAGAGTGGGGAGAGGATACAAAAAGGAGGGGGAGAGGAGAGAGGGGAGAGAGAAGAGGGAGAGGAGAGATATTGGGGGGGACGAAGGAGGGGGAGAGGAGAGTGGGGAGAGAGGGCATAAAAATGAGGGGAGAGGGAGAGAGTGGGGAGAGGAAGAATAAAGGGGGAGAGGAGAGAGAGTGGGGAGAGGGGGCAGAAAAAGAATGGGGAGAAGAGAGAGTGGAGAAAAGGGGAATAAAAAGAGGGGGAGTGGGGAGAAAGGGTGCAACAGTGGGAGAGGAGAGGCTTGGATGTGAAGAGAGGGCGTGGGATGAGGGAAGGGAAAGAAAGTGGGAAAGGAGAGAAAAGAAGTGAAGGAAAAAGAGGAAGGAAAAGAAAGTGGAGTGAGGGTAAAGATTGGGACCAACTGATTTACAGTCTCGACAATTTCTTTCTCAAACCAATCAGTAGACAAACAAACCCATAAACAAATGAATCATAATAATCATAAAAAACAACAACTTTTCTAGGCCTGGACAAGGAAATCCTGCTGGAGAGACTAGGTCACTATTTCCTCCCCTACGCCTTCCAACACGGCTACGGAGACATGGTCCTGAGCCTCGGGAACACGCTGGAGAGCTTCCTTGCCAACGTGGACTATTTGCACTGGTAGGGGCGTCTGCGATCCTGTTTTATATGCATTATTTTTTGTTGGTGGTGATTTTTGGTAGGGGAGGGGGGGAGGGGACCTATAGGTTTGTTTGCGTTTCTGTCTTCGTTTATGTTTTTGTTTATATGCTGGTGTTGTTTGTTTGTTTTTATATATGTATTTAAAAATGTATTTGTTATTTATTGTCATTCTGTCTCTCTCTCTCCCCCATCTCTCTGTTTCTCTCTCTCTCTCTTCTATATCTATCTATCTATCTATCTATATATATAATATATATATATGTGTGTGTGTGTAAAATGTTTATATAACACATACACACACACACGCGCGCGCGCGCGTGTGTGTGTGTTGCATTCTCGGCCAGCACTCAATTTCTTTCAACCTTTTTTTCTCTCACCTTGTATTAAGCTTCATCATCCTTGGCCATATGAATATTCATTTTCGCAAACACGCCGCCACACTTCTCACACGAAAGAAAACGGATTTTCCCCTCCACTCTCCGTCCTCGTAAACCTTTCGCGTCCTCCCACAGGTACCTCATGTCCACGGCTTATCCTGAAATCCTATCCCCTTCCTTCTGCTTGGACATCGACCCAGACGGCGCAATGCTGCTTAGTTACTACTCCCAGCGCGCTGGCTTTCACCCCCTGGCCGTAGGTGAGCGTCTCTGACGAATTGATAACCTTTACGGCGAGGACTGTGCGATTCGCTGATCGAGCCCTGACTTCGGATTGAATTGTTTATTATTTCTTTTAATAACCTTATGTGGTTCGATTAGACTTTGTCACGTCATTATTTACTCTGTAATTTTGTGGTTATTTTTAAGATTAATATCGCGATGCAAAAGAAAACACTGATTACTAATTCTAATCAACGCCGAAGTCCGAGCCACGTGTCGCGTTCGTACCATTTGTTGTACTGGTGGTAGTATTGGTCTTTGCGCCTGTATTTATTCAAAATGTAAAAAAGTTAAAATTTCCGTTGTCATGCATCTAGGTGCGTTCTTTCTATAATGTCAAACTAATTTGGATAAGGAATGATATGTGTGTGTCTGCATGTTTAGCGTATGTGAACTGTATGTAGTACAGTGACATATGAAAAACAATGAAAAAGCATTATATTAAGATCTTCACGTACTGCAAAAAATATACGTTGATCTTTGCAGGACTGATTCAGGCCATTGCCTTTCACATCTTCGGGCTCAACGCTTGCTTCTCCACCGTCAGCCAGGAAACGGAGACTCTCAAACCAGGCAAGAAACTGTTCAGTGTCGTCTTCAGGTAACCCGTGTATTTTTAGTTTTCTCCTGATACAACTTTTACATAAAATCTGCTATATATAAAATGTCAAAGGAATTAACACGAGAAAAAATTCCTTTGGAATGCTGTCAGAAGGGTTCCAAAGTTAGTTCTGCATTAAAAGTACATTAGACTAGCAGTACATCGTAAATACAGATACATAAATCCACATTGTCTAATTTTGCGTCATTTTTCCCTTCCGCAAGAGTCGTTTGCACGGACACGCTACCTGCGACCTGCATGAAGGAAGCGGAACTGGCAAGCTCTATATTCAACTCCATGAATCTCCGCTCCGGGAAAAGTAAGAGGCTGGGGCCGAAGTTCAATTCCCAAGGGCGCGCCTCGGCATCCTTGACGTCGAGGACCCACCTTCCCCTCTCTCGCCGCCCTGCCTCTGCCTCCGCCGCAGCCTTCGTCACCCTCCGGAAGACGCCACTGCCTGACGGGGGCGTCGAAGGGAGCGAGGACGCCAATAACGAGATGGAAAAGAAGAGCGCTACCAGTGGCCAGAATCGCACGGCGTGTGCAAGGACTTCTAGCTGTCCTTGTCACCTCGCTCGGAAGGACACGCCTGATGACGAAAAGTGCGGGAGGAACTTGGACGACGAAAGACTGTGCGCGAGAGCGATAAGAGACAAGGAGAAAGGCGAACTTGGGGCTCCACCTTCTGTCGCTTTGGGGGAAGTGGATGGCAAGGCGGGCGCCCTTCCTCCAAACCCTTTCATTAGGAGCCTCCATCCCTACCACGTACTCTTTGACAAGTTAGTTACTCTCAGGCTGCACTTCAGATTATATGCTATTGCTCGACATTATATTCCTTCCAATATATGCCACAAAGGGTATATTTAAAATGATATTGCAAATTTTAAGCTACCCAGTTACACACTTATTTCCCGTCTCTCTCTCTCACACACAAACGCACACGCACACGCACACTTAGACACACACACACACACACAGTCTCCCCATCCCATTATTTCTCTTCCTCCTTATCCCATCTATTTCTTATACATTGATATGATATTCTACTCTATTGTTATCGTACTGCCGTTAATGAAACACTACGAAATGTCTGACAAAATAGATTAAGATAAGAATAAAAAAAATCAAAAACTGATAAAGTAAGATAACCTCCATCGCCCACCACCGCAGAGAACTCCAGGTGCAGGGGATGGGGAAGGCCCTGACCTCGCTGATGGAAGAGGAAGACGAAGAACAGAGGGCGGACGAAGGGTCAAAGACGCCAGAGCGGAGTGGGAAGCGACGACCTACCACGCCCCTCCTGCCAGAGGTCTTTGACCTGGTGTGGCCCGACGTCCCTCTCACGTACTTCAACTTGTCTCGTTTCTGGCAGCTCGTTATACAGTTGAAGCTGAGGAGGACGAGAGCAGCGGGACTCGAACTCAAAGGTGACTTAAGGCCCTATCACGCTAGCACTTTTTCCGTCATTTTTTTTTTGCGTTTCCGAATGAACTCTGTGTGAAAATCATGTAAACAAACGGCGTGAAGTTCCGGGAATCGCACGAACATTCTCATACATTTTACGTTATTTTAAAGAAATATGATGATATATATTGTATGTACGAATGTTCTAAAATATTAGCTTATGTTTACATTCACTCATCCTATCTAAGTTATTAATACCACAAGATCAACACGGAAATTAGTCAGACAGAAGCGGTCGTAACCGTCTTGGTCTGGGAGGCGTTCCGTTTGTAGACGATCCTTGTGGAAAGCTTCAAATTCAGACGGACCGGAAGAGAAATTGGCGGGAAAAGTGCTAGTGTGATAGGGCCATTAGGGCGAATGAGTGGCGGGAGGTCATGTTGTTCGCTGTGGGATTTTGTTGCTGTGTTTTGCGGGTGTTTTGTGGACTAGAGTGAATGATTGTCTGGGTGAATGTACGGTAAATAACTTCCCCCGTTTGATGGAAATAAAAGGCAAACGGAAATGATGTACGGGGGGAATCATAATGAGAGAGAGAGAGAGAGAGAGAGAGAGAGAGAGAGAAGAGAGAGAGAGAGAGAGAGAGAGAGAGAGCAGGAGAGAGAGAGAGAGAGAGAGAGAGAGGGGGGGGGGGGGGGGGAGGGAGGAGGGAGGAGGGGGAG